GAACACCTAAGTATCTTAAACTGGGTTTTCACCTCTACATGAAGACACCTTGAAGAGTTTCTATATATATATATATATGCACATTTCAAAAAAATGGTTTTGATGCATAATTTTAAATTTAGTGATCATAAGTAGTCTAAGTTATATAATATAGAGCTTTGATTAATCCTCTAAATCGGCAAATATGTATGATGGAACACATACCTGTGGTCTGTCTTAAGGCTATCCTCTAACCATCATATGATGATGATGATGATGATGATGATGTACTATAGAAAACAAGGATGGAGGAGACTTTTGAAGAAAATGAGTTCTCTTGCTTGATCGTGTATGTGCTGTACATGTCCTTTTAACCTAAAGAATACAACAGTCATATAATACTAATATGACAATTTAATATTGTCTAATACAAAGAATGGAAGAATATCAAACATAATTATCTTCTTTCCTTGTCTTCGAGTTTGTGTCCGTATTCCTTTTATGTAAATCCGAAACTATCTTCTTTCCTTGTGTGTTCTTGTCCGTGTTGATCGTGATTGTGTCCGCCATTGTGTTCGCCATCACCTTGGTCTCCTTGTCCGCTAACATTCCCCCTCAAGATTGACCGGTCAAGATCAACGAGGCCAATCTTGACTAGGCAATTGTGAAGTGCAAAAGAGCTTGTTGCTTTTGTTAGTATGTCGGCTAGTTGATCATGACTCCGAGTAAAGGTCGGGGAGATCAACCCATGCGCGATCTTCTCACGGATGAAGTGAAGTCCAATTCAATGTGTTTTGTCCTCTCGTGAAAGACCGAATTGTTCGCGATATGAATTGCGGCTTGGTTATCGCAATGTAGGCATGTAGATGTTGAGGTCGCCCCGAGGTCGTGAAGAAGTTGTCGTAGCCAAACCACCTCGATCGTTGTGTTCGCCATCGCTCGGTACTCGACCTCGGCACTTGAACGTGCAATCACATTTTGTTTCTTGCTCTACCATGTGACCAAGTTCCCTTTAACGAATGTGCAATATCCCGTGGTTGACTTGCGATCCGTCCGATCTCCGGCCCAATCCGCATCACAATATGCTACAAGCTCAGTATGCCGGTTGTTGTCCATCTGGATGCCCTTGTTCGGTGTTCCTTTTAGGTACTTCAAGATGCGATCCACCATTTGTCAGTGGTTTGTTTTTGGTGAGTGCATCCACTGACTAACCTGATGCACCGCAAAACTGATGTTAGGACGTGTAATCGTAAGATAGATTAACTTACCTACGATACATCGGTATCGCTCCGGATCATCGAATGGTTCCCCCTCGGAGTGATCCTTGAAGTGTTCTTCTATAGGCGTGCGTACTGGTTTCGCTCCAAGTTTACCTGTCTCAGTTAACATGTCTAAGATATATTTCCTTTGGGACAAAAACACACCGTTAGTAGTGCGAGTTACTTCAATTCCAAGAAAATATTTAAGCAAACCTAGATCTTTAATGTCAAACACATTACTTAAATATATTTTAGTATCGTGAATACCGTCGACATCATTGCCGGAGAGAATGATGTCGTCAACATACACCAAAAGAACAACCATACCCGCAGGGCGTGTAAGTGTGAAAAGAGAGTGATCGGAATCACTTCTTATAAAGCCTTTGTCGAGGAGAGCTTGGTATAGGCGATGATACCAAGCACGAGGCGATTGTTTAAGCCCGTAAAGCGCCTTCTTTAATCGACATACCTGACCGGTACGTATAAAACCGGTGTAACCTGATGGTGGCTTCATGAATATTTCTTCGTCGAGGTCTCCGTGGAGTAAAGCGTTTTTGACATCCAATTGCCACAGCTGCCAATCTTGATTCATAGCTAAAGAAATAATAACGCGTACCGTATGAAGTTTTGCAACTGGAGCAAATGTTTCGTTGTAATCATCGCCGTATGTCTAAGTATATCCTTTCGCAACAAGGCGGGCCTTGTGTCGTTCAATAGTGTCGTCGCTCATATATTTGATTTTGTAGACCCATTTACAACCTACAACTTGTTTTCCCGGAGGTAAATCGGTGATATCCCAAGTACCAATTTTTTCAAGAGCCGAAAGTTCTTCCGCCATTGCCTTGCGCCACACGTCACTATCTTTGGCTTGAGTATAAGATGTCGGTTCTACTCCCTGTGCAACAACACTCAAAAAACTTTGTTCAGCAATAGGAAAAGAGGAAAGAGATGAGTACTTGGCTATGGGATGGGCGACGGCGAGTTGGCCAACGTTCTGTTGTTGTTCAGCCAATTTCCAAGTGGGACGTCGATTTCTTTGACTACGTCGGAGCTGTGTTGCAGCGGAGTTGACAGCGGGAAGAGTCTGAGGGTTGGACGAGTCATGTGATAACATTTGGGTGTATTCATCATGATCTGGAATCTGCTTGTCCGTCTCGATCGTGACAGTTGGCGGGTCACTTTGAGCATCCATGATTATGGGATGAGTTGACGAAGAGGTTTCCCCCTCAGTGGGTGCATCCAGATTCACATCTTCATGACCTGTCATGTTAGTATCGATGGAAATATCAAGAGTAACAAGTACATGTGTCGGAATACCGTCAGCATGCAATTCTGTATGCAAATCTGTTGAAGGAGCGTGAACCCCGAGCTGCTGGAAAGTTCCGAGAAGTCGAGAGAGGGAGGTGTTGTCATCACTTCCTTGGGTTGCAAGTTTCTCTAATACGGACCAGTCTTGTTGATCAAAATAACTGATGTCTTCTACAAATTTAACATGTCTCGATGTATAGACCCGGTCAGTGGGTGGGTGAAAACATAGATAACCTTTTTGGTTCGCCGGATAACCGAGGAACACACACAGTATGCTCTTGGGATCGAGTTTGTTTCTAAGACCTGCATCAATTTGAGCGAAGCAAACACATCCAAATACACGTAAATGGTCAAGAGAAGCACAATGATTAAAGAGTACCTCGAACGGAGATTTGTCGCTAAGGATTTGTGTGGGTAGCCGATTAATAAGATAACACGCTATCTTAACGGCGTCACACCAAAACTTTTTTGGGACGTTGCGGTGAAATAGGAGGGTTCGTGCTACTTCCATCAAATGTCGATTTTTCCGCTCGGCAACACCGTTTTGTTGTGGTGTATGCGGACAAGAACGTTGGTGTAGGATGCCCTCATGGAGAAGATAATCCCGAAATTGAAAGCTCATGTATTCGCCTCCGCCATCTTTTATTAAACATTTCACTTTAACATTGAATTGAGTAGAAACATAGGCAAAAAAAATTTTCGTGGCATAAAACACATCACTCTTTTTCTTTAAAGGTGTAATCCAAGTGTATTTGGATTTCTCGTCAATAAAAGTCACAAAATACTTGAAATTATCACGAGAATAGCATGAAGCGATCCAAAGATTGGAGTGAACAAGATCAAATGCATTATTATAAATAGTACTTAAATCCATAAAAACCGAACGACAATGTTTCCCTAGCGTACACGCCTCACAATGAGTATCAAAAGGCTTAACTTCGGGAACAAGTAAACGAAACACCTTTGCGTGTGGATGGCCTAATCGAGCATGCCACACGCTCGGAGATATAGAAAGAAAACTAAAATGCGAGTCTTCTAGATAATAAAGGTTGCTCGTCCGTGAGCCTTTGCCAAAGATAAGTTCGGAGCTAATATCCTGAAATGAAACACCATTAGCATCGAAGACAACACGACACATAATTTGTTCAACAAGTTTTGAAATGGACAATAAATTTGCATGGAAATCAGGAACGTATAGAGCCATGATATCTTTGTCAAAAACTTTAATCTTACCAATACCTTTGATAGGTATAGGCCGTCCATTAGCAATAGTGACGACACCATGACTTGGAGTGATAGTAACAAATAAATTATCATCATAAAACATGTGCTCGTTGCACCGGAATCCAAAATAATTGAAGAATTACGAGAATAGTTACCTTGGTCCTTATGAATCGACTGAAGAAGATGTTTGAGCCCTTGAAGCTCATCGGAGGTAAGGTTGATCGAACTTTCGGCGTTATGGGAAGCCGTCATAGCCGAACCTTTCCGAGGAGCATTCTGGAACCGAGTCGGCTTCAAATGAGGATTGAGGATCCAATACCTTTCTTTTGAGTGTCCCACTTTGTTACAATGATCACAAAAATAGCTCTTGCGTGCTCGGTTCTGTTGACTCACAGCAACATGTGCGGATTGTCTTTGAACGAGATGAGCGAGTTCATGAGATCCCATAAACACATTACGGCTGCCTTCTTCACGTTGAATTAGCATGCAAATATCTTCAAACGTCGGAAGTGTGGGTTGGCGAAGGACATGATAGATGAGGTCATTGTAAGTGGCATTGAGCGTTGAGAGAAAGGAGAAGACTTTGTCTTCCTCAGCTCGTTGCATGAATGATTTTGGATCGGTGGAAGGTGGTCTCACCTCTTCGAGTTCAGCCCACAACGCACAAAACTCTCCTTGAATCTTGCTTATTGGCTGGTCGTTCTGTTGGAGATGAAACAACTTTCTTTTTAGTTCAAAAATCCGACTAACATTAGAGAGGTTACCGTAGACTCTTTGTAGTGCCTCCCATAGAGATTTGGCTGTGTCGTGCGATATGAACGACTGGAGAATATGAGGATCCAGCGAGCCTTGCAAGATCACCAAAGCTTGGCTGTTCTCTTGTCTCCATTTGGTGAAATCCGACGCAGCTTGACGGTTTCTTTCTAGGCGTTGATGTGCCTGATCGGGAGTCTCTCCGTCGACGGCCACTTCTTGTGGAGGAGGAGACTTTTTTTCAGCGGAGATATGGTCCCATAACCCCTTACTATTGAGGGCCGCAGTGGCGACTTTGGTCCAATAGAAGTAATTGTCACCATGGAAGGTGATGGGGATGAGTTTGGTTGTTGGTTCCATGACTTGATAGATTGTCGGAAGCAAGAAGAAGAGGGGAAAAAATGAAGAACATGAATTTTTTTTTTAATGAACGATACCCTCTGATACCATATAGAAAACAAGGATGGAGGAGACTTTTGAAGAAAATGAGTTCTCTTGCTTGATCGTGTATGTGCTGTACATGTTCTTTCCTAAAGAATACAACAGTCATATAATACTAATATGGCAATTTAATATTGTCTAATACAAAGAATGGAAGAATAGCAAACGTAATTATCTTCTTTCCTTGTCTTCGAGTTTGTGTCCGTATTCCTTTTGTGTAAGTCCGAAACTATCTTCTTTCCTTGTGTTTTCTTGTCCATGTTGATCGTGATTGTGTCCGTCATTGTGTTCGCCATCACCTTGGTCTCCTTGTCCGCTAACATGTACCATCACCATGATCATATGGTTCAGCGAGGAGCCGGAAGCAGTGTGAATATGTTCACTAGAGTTGAATCTGACAACATTTCCAGCTGCAGGCTGCGTTTTCCCGGGCTCCACATCAGCCACAAATCTGCTCGTCAGAGGCCATATATTGGTTTAGGTACAAATTAAAATAAACAAAGAGGTTAGAGTTACGGTCTTTCGGGGATTCTCTCAAGAGTTAAACTTCCGAAACAGCTTTGAAACATATATATATATATATATATATATATATATATATCTAACAACAATAACAATAACATCGCCTCATTCCCAAGTTCATTTGGAATCGGCCGCATAAATCATTCGGTTCGGTTTATTCGGTTTACAGTTATTTTGGGTTCGGTTATTTCGGGTTTTAAAAAATCATAACCAAACGGTTATTTAATTTTATTCGGTTCGATTCGGTTCGGGTATATATCGGTCGATTCGGTTAATAACCAAAATACCCGAACCAAATGCCCACCCCTACAACACTTCCAAATTATTTCTAATGACACGCTCCCAAGTAGGTTTAGGTCTGCCTCTTCCTTTCCTTATCATCCATATATCTATACTCTCCACTTTTCTAACCGGCGCATCTATCGGCCTACGTTATACATGTTCAAACCATCTTAAACGTCCATCCCATACCCTCTCTTCAATACTTATTACTTTTATTTTCTTTCTAATAATCTCATTTCTAATTCTATTCATTCTTGTGTGTCCGCACATCCATCTCAACATCTTCATTTCGGCCACACTCATTTTAGACATATGTTGCCCTTTCGCTGCCCAACATTCGCTACCAATAATGCGCATATTATGGCGGTACGGTAGAATTTTTCTTTCAACCGTAGGGGAATCTTACGATCACAAAGAACCCCCGTGGTTTGTCTCCATTTCATCCAACCCGTTTTTATTCTTTGACTAACATTTTCGTCGCAACCCTATCTTTTTGAAGGATTAGCCCAAGATATTTAAAATGCGGATTTTGAGATGTTGATCCTCCTTGCAAGATAACTCCCACATCACTAGAACGTCTGCCACTAAAATCACAATTCATGTACTCAGTCTTCGTCCTACTAAGCCTAAGACCCTTAGCTTCTAATGTACTCCTCCATAACTCTAATTGTCCATTTACTCCTTTTATGGACTCGTGTATTAGCACAATATCGTCTGCAAACATCATGCACCATGTTACTTCTTTCTTCTATATATCATATATATGTGGGGGGGGGG